CCCTAATACAGGGTAACCCCTCCACCCCCCTCCCTAATACAGGGCACCCCATCCTTTTCTGATACAAGGTAACCCCCCACCTTCCCCAATACAGGGTAACCCCCTCTCCCCCACCCTAATACAGGGTAACCCCTCCACCCCCCTCCCTAATACAGGGCACCCCATCCTTTTCTGATACAAGGTAACCCCCCTCTCCCTAATACATGGTACCCCCCTTCCCCCCCATCCTTCTCTGGTACAGACCCCCCTTTACCGTAATACAAGGTACAGACCGCGGTATAGGGGGGGGCGGGGGGGGGCAGTGCGCGCGGTATAGGGGGGGCGGGGGGCAGTGTGAGCGCGGTATTGGGGGGCGGGGTTACTGTGGCCCCTCCCCCTGGAAGCTTCCAGAAGCCGGCTGTGGGTGGGTCCCACGTGGTGTGAGGGCGCCGCCATTTTGATTGTTGTGCGTCACTTCCGGTAGCTGTGTCACCCTGCAGTGAGTGGGAGATGGTGTCAGTGTACCCGGGCTGGATGGGATCAGGAAATGGCTGACTGGATACCATGTGCCAGGTCCCCCCTCCCTGGGAGTCTCATTATCCTCAGCCATAACCAGTAATGCTCTGTGGGCCCCCCACCAGTCACTGGAACCCCCTAGTCTGTGGGCACCCCCCCACCAGTCACTGGAACCCCCTAGTCTGTGGGCCCCCCCCACCAGTCACTGGAACCCCCTAGTCTGTGGGCCCCCCACCAGTCACTGGAACCCCCTAGTCTGTGGGCCCCCCACCACCAGTCACTGGAAAGTCTGTGGCCCCCACCAGTCACTGAACCCCCTAGTCTGTGGCCCCCACCAGTCACTGGAACCCCCTAGTCTGTGGGCCCCCCACCAGTCACTGGAACCCCTAGTCTGTGGGCCCCCACCAGTCACTGGCACCCCTAGTCTGTGGGCCCCCCACCCGTCACTGGAACCCCCTAGTCTGTGGGCACCCCCCCACCAGTCACTGGAACCCCCTAGTCTGTGGGCCCCCCCCACCAGTCACTGGAACCCCCTAGTCTGTGGGCCCCCCCCACCAGTCACTGGAACCCCCTAGTCTGTGGGCCCCCCCCAGTCACTGGAACCCCCTAGTCTGTGGGCCCCCCACCAGTCACTGGAACCCCTAGTCTGTGGGCCCCCACCAGTCACTGGAACCCCCTAGTCTGTGGGCCCCCCCCACCAGTCACTGGAACCCCCTAGTCTGTGGGCCCCCCACCAGTCAGAGTGGGTGGCACAGGGTTTCTGCTACAAGCGCTATGTTGGTTCTCTGGGTGCTGGGTTGGCACAGGGTTTCTGCTACTAGCGCTATGTGGGTACACTCTGGGTGCTTGTTTGGCACAGGGTTTCTGCTACTAGCACTGGATGTATTCCTGCTGCTTAACTGACCTTATTGTTTTATTGTCCTTGTAGATGCCAGAAGAAATCCAACATGGCGAGGAGGAGGTGGAGACATTCGCATTTCAGGCTGAGATTGCACAGCTCATGTCACTGATTATTAACACCTTCTATTCCAACAAGGAAATATTCTTGCGAGAGCTGATCTCAAATGCCTCCGATGTAAGTGTCTGCCCCTGGCATTACCCTTCCTACCACTTCTTCCATTGCTTGATGTGTAGATTCTGTCTGTACCTTACAGCAATTAGGAGACTGCCAGCCTGCCATGGTTTTATAGAGAGCTCTTTACGCTGGAGCTGACACCCACCACAATCCGTATTTTATTTACTATCCAATGCAAAATGGTGCTTTGCAGACTCTCCAGTGACCAGTACATATGACTGCTGTCAGCCAATTGTTGCTATTTAGGTAAACTGGATGAGCACAGGTTTCTCCCCATAGAGAATCCTATTGGCGCAGCGCAGTAGGTCCTGAATTGTTCCCCTGTGAAGGAGCCTTGTTCAAATGACCTAAAACTAAAGCGAAGTGGCGGCCACAGATAAACCAGGGGGTCTCGGGATGAGAGGAGAGTACAGCTTTATTATTTAAAGAATATTAAAGGCAATAGGGAAACTTTAAAGGGACGCTAGTCACCAGAACTACAGCATATTGAATTTGTTCTGGTGAGTAGAATCATTACCTTCAGGCTTTTTGCTGTAAATGCTGTCTTTTCAGAGAAAATGCAGTGTTTACATTACAGCCTAGTAATAACTTCACTGGCCACTCCTCAGATGGCTGCTAGAGATCCTTCCTGGGTCATGGCTGCCTAAAATGCATCCAAACATTCAGTTTCTCCTCCCTCTGCATGCAGACACTGAACTTTCCTCATAGATTCATTGATTGAGATGCTAATTTACAAGGGCTGTTTGAATCATGTCAGTCTCAGCCAATCCTATGGGGAAGCACTGTGATTGGATCGGGCCACCACTTCTGATGTCAGCAGACAGTTTTTTTTTTTTTTTTCCCTGAGGCAAACCACATGCAGATCAACAGCTTCAGGCTTGAATACAGTAAGATTTTGCTATATTTATAGAGGTATGAGGGGCCCAGGGGGGCTAGATGGTGGTTTTAACACTAGAGTCAGGAATACGTGTTTGTGTTCCTGACCCTATAGTGATCTTTTAATGTTTAAAATTCATGCTTGTGGGTGTAACGAGTTATCCTTTCAATGACGTTTGTGAACTTAAAGGACCACTCTAGGCACCCAGACCACTTCAGCTTAATGAAGTGGTCTGGATGCCAGGTCCAGCTAGGGTTAACCCATTTTTTCATAAACATAGAAACTGCTGTTTATGAATGGGTTAAGCCTTCCCCTATTTCCTCTAGTGGCTGTCTCATTGACAGCCACTAGAGGTGCTTCTCACTGTGAAAATCAGTGAGAGCACGCAAGTGTCCATAGGAAAGCATTATGAATGCTTTCCTGTGTGACCGGCTGAATGCGCGCGCAGCTCTTGCCGCGCATGCGCATTCAGCCGACTCGGAGGAGGAGAGCTCCCTGCCCAGCACTGGGGAAAAAAGGTAAGTTTTACCCCTTTCCCCCTTCCAGAGGCGGGCGGGAGGGGGACCAGGAAAACGAGTGATAACCATGGGAAATTAAAGGACCACTATAGTGCCAGGAAAACAGTCAGCCTTAAGCGTGGCTGGGCTAAAGGTAGACTCCGTCATGTCGAATCACAGCTCCCATGATTTGCCAGCCTTTAGAATAGCTGCAGTTCCACAACTGCGAATCCTTTGGCCTACATGCTTGGTTGAGCATTGCTAGCACGGTGCATGTGGAGGACTGAGGCTGACATGAGTACCTTGCCGCTGTTGTATAATCTAGACCCTTGTTGACACGAGGGGGGGGAGGGTTTTCTTAGGTTTTTTTTCTTCAACTCCAATTTCTGAAGTGATGGCAATTAATCTGCCAAAGCACTGCCTTACCGGATGGCTCTCATTATCTGTAACATTTGAATTGTTGGAATTTAAACATGATTTTAAAATAGACTGACACGGCCGAACTGAAACCATAGTTGACTTAGAGAATTTTCCTAGTTTTGCATACGCCCGAAACTTTAAATTCTCAACAATTGACATGTTCGTGAGTAAGCCTGTTAATGTTTTGAGGCATGGTGAGTTGCTGGGTCTAACTAGTGGCTTTCTTTCAGGCTCTGGATAAAATCCGCTACGAGAGTCTCACTGATCCATCCAAGCTGGACACTGGTAAAGATCTGAAAATAGATATCATCCCCAACCGGCAGGAACGAACTCTGACTCTTATTGACACCGGGATTGGCATGACAAAGGCTGACTTGATCAACAACCTGGGAACAATTGCCAAATCCGGAACCAAAGCTTTCATGGAGGCCCTGCAGGTAAGCAATCCATCCCTGGGAATCCAAATCAATAAATCCGTTATAAACTGGGTCCATATACCTAGCGAGGGGAAACTCCCAAAGAATTGGCAGAAGACATCCGCTCCAGATAATGGTCCGTTCATGGGCATAAACTGTTAATTAATGGAGAAAAGGCACGTTTGTTTTTAATTGCGGTTTGTTTGGATAATTTCATGGTGGTGAACATACGTCTTACCAGATTTATGACTGATACGGATACAACTTCATGTCAGTTTTTCTCTAAATGGCTCTTGTGGTTGAGGTCTCTTTATATCCTGGTCTGATAGTTAACCTAAAGCTACTGCTTATGGCATTCTCCTTGGCCCCTGATCCGTTGGGTAAAGCCTGTCTAGTGGCTGTGCCCATTGGCTCTTGATCCATTGGGTAACGCCAGTCTAGTGCCTGTTGGTCCGCTAGTATTAACTCCAGTTTATACACCTAGAGCTGGCTGTAGAGCTTGACTGTCCATAGTGACTCTATTTTTCTCCCAGGCTGGAGCAGATATATCCATGATCGGGCAGTTTGGTGTTGGCTTCTACTCTGCCTACCTGGTGGCCGAGAAGGTTTCAGTGATCACCAAACACTATGATGATGAGCAGTATGCTTGGGAATCCTCGGCTGGTGGCTCTTTCACAGTAAAAGTAGACCATGGTAAGTGCTCCTGGCAGAAAATATAGTGCAATGTAAATTAGTGTGCGATCCTGGAAGTCATTTCGTTTTCCAGGGATTTTTACATAAGCTGACCTTGATGGACGCAAGCTATAAGCCCACTGATTAGAAATTACTTCCCTGTATACTGTCTTTGCAAGTATTCATCCAGTTGCTGTTTAAATATCTGCATGGACTCTGAATAAACCACCTCTTTAGGCAGAAAATTCCACATCCTTATTATTTTTACTGTAAAAAAAACCTTTCCTTGGTCTTAGATTAAATCTCTTTTCTTCCAGTCTAAATTATCTCATGTAATATGTATAGTCCTGTTTATGAATAATTTCCAGACAATGGTTTGTATAGGTCCCGAATATTTATATAATGTTATCATCCCCTGTCAGGTGCAGTTTTTCTAAATTAAACATATTTAAATTTAACCAACCTTCATAACTCTTTTCCATTACCATTATTTTTGTAGCCCAATGCTGATATGTTCTCCTTCTCCCTCTCCAGGTGAACCCATCGGACGCGGCACCAAGGTCATCCTACATTTGAAGGAGGACCAGATTGAGTATCTGGAGGAGAAACGAGTGAAGGAAGTGGTTAAGAAACACTCTCAGTTCATCGGATACCCAATCACCCTCTATGTGAGTCTTTAGTGAAAGCAGGGAGGAACCTTTAGTTGCAGAATTGTATGAACTGGGTTCTAATGCAGCATAGTCTAAGGCCGAACCAGTGTGAACAAGCTGCTTTGAACTACCCATTATGCCTTTTTAAAAGGGGTTTAAACCCTGTTTCAGGTGTAGCTTAAATAAAAACACACAGGGTTTATTTAGTGATCCTGTTTGACTTACTGGATATTAAACTGACTTTGTTCACCCTCAGCTTGAGAAGGAGCGAGAGAAGGAGATCAGCGATGATGAGGCCGAGGAGGAGAAGGAGGAAGAGAAGAAAGATGAGGACGGAGAGGACAAACCCAAGATAGAGGATGTGGGATCAGATGAAGAAGAGGAGGGAAAAGACAAAAAGAAGAAAACAAAGAAAATCAAAGAAAAATACATTGACCAGGAGGAGCTGAACAAGACCAAACCCATCTGGACACGTAACCCTGACGATATCAGCCAGGAGGAGTATGGAGAGTTCTACAAGAGCTTGACAAATGACTGGGAGGACCACTTGGCTGTTAAGGTAAGATTTGTTCTGTTTGAGTAGAGGAGAGGGGTTGACCATGGATTGAAGGCCTAATTTGTTATGCTCTGTCTACAGCACTTCTCCGTAGAAGGCCAGCTGGAGTTCCGGGCTCTGCTATTCATTCCCCGACGGGCTCCGTTTGACCTGTTTGAGAACAAGAAGAAGAAAAATAACATTAAGCTATATGTGCGCAGAGTGTTTATCATGGACAGCTGTGATGAGCTGATCCCGGAATACCTGAGTAAGTGGTTAAAAGGGACACTGGGCACTATACAAGTTCTTATTTGATAGGTTTTGACCTTATTAAGCCATTAAAGATGGAGGCATTAAGTTCCTTCTGGCTGTCACTGCAGTTACCATATCTCTCGCTCCCATAATTTGCAGTGTAGTTGTTTGTGGTCGTTTTTTTTTCTTTCTTTCCTTCCCGTGCATTCAAAAGCTGTTGCAATTTTATTGAAAATGTCGCTCTCTCCGGCAGACTTTATTCGCGGCGTGGTGGATTCTGAGGACTTGCCATTGAACATTTCCAGAGAGATGCTGCAACAGAGTAAGATCTTGAAGGTAATCCGCAAGAACATTGTGAAGAAATGCATGGAGCTCTTCACAGAGTTGGCCGAAGACAAGGAGAACTACAAGAAGTTCTATGAAGCATTTTCCAAGAACCTAAAGGTGAGTGGCATGCTGGGTAACTGTACGTGGGATCCAGGTACAAAACGCTGGAGTAGGCTGGATCTCTATACTGTAATCACATTCTCACAACCTGCCATCTTCCCCTCCCACAGTACACATCCCATGGGAACACAAACTAAGGTAGTGACTGGACTGCCATTGTTATTACTGGCATTTATAAAGCGCCAACATATTCCGCAGCGCTGTACAACAGGAAAAGGGCCCTGCCTGTGAGCCTTACTCCAGTTACCCAACTAGACTGAAGCACAACCTGGCTTGTACCAGCTCTAGGATTTGTGAGGGGGGTACATGCATGTCCTACACCAGAGTCCAATAATTATCTTGATGCCTTGGGGAGATGCTATATCCAGAGTCAGTGTGGGCTGGAATGGGTGGATTGAGGGTCCAGTGGCGAATGCAGGGCTGTTAATAGAACTTTATATTGATTTCCTTTTTGGGTTCTGTCATTTTGAGTGTTAATGTTTCACATTACCCCCACAGCTTGGCATCCACGAGGACTCCACAAATCGGAAGAAGCTGTCTGAACTCCTGCGGTACCACACTTCCCAGACAGGAGATGAGATGGCATCTCTGACCGAATATGTGTCCCGCATGAAGGAAAACCAGAAGAGCATCTATTACATCACTGGTGAGTGTCCTTCTAACTCCCCTGATAACTTTGATGGTTCTGCCTGGAAGTGAGGGCAGGGGTTTGCTATGTTGCAGAGAAACTCCCGACTGTCATAGATAATCAGTAATGTAGCTCTAGGATGATTCTGGAATTAATTCCTTGGTTTCTGATACCTATGGATTACAAGGAATCATTCTAAAATCACTCCCTTAAGTTGTAGAAAGGGGAGTTCTCTACCCCTCCTGCCAGTGCTTTGTCCTTATTTACTTCTCTCCCACGGCACTCGGCTAGCAAACACTGCAACGTAGCCAGAGTGCTCCTTTGTGTCTAACTGAAATGCTGGTCTGTAGGTGAGAGCAAGGAGCAGGTGGCAAACTCTGCCTTTGTGGAACGTGTGAGGAAGCGTGGCTTTGAAGTGGTCTACATGACAGAGCCCATCGATGAGTACTGTGTCCAGCAACTCAAGGAGTTTGATGGCAAAACCCTGGTGTCTGTCACAAAGGAAGGTCTAGAGCTGCCAGAAGATGAGGATGAGAAGAAGCAGATGGAGGAGAACAAGTCAAAATTTGAGAGTCTATGCAAGCTAATGAAGGAGATCTTGGACAAGAAGGTTGAGAAGGTAAGGGAACCTTTTAGTATTGTAATGTGTTCTGCATGGCCCTATTTTACAGCACTTATGGACATATTGACATAGGTTAATATTTAATCGTAAACTCTGAATGCTGCAAAATGAAATCTAAATTGTAAAACACTGAAATGTCACTTTAAGGGACGCTGTAGGCACCCGGACTACTTCAATGTAAACTTCATTCCATAGAAACTCGAGGTTTCCATTGCAGCTCTGTGGCTGATTCTACAGATTCCCGTAAATGGCTGAAGGTCTTTAACTTTTTCTGCCCCGCGGAAGGTGGTGGCTATTAACCCTATAGTGATGGGAAAACTGCTTTATTTTCCTGGCATTATAGGATCCCATTTAGTGAAAAACACTCAAATTTCTAAATTGGAGAAACTAAGTCAGTTATGCTTTCAGTTCTGGCCTCGCATAAAGAGCCCTGTGAGGCTGAGATAGCAGAGCTGTGACTAAAGTTTGCGGCTTTTATTGCCTGAAATGTGGAGATGGAGAACCCACCTCTGCAGGGACCTGCCTGGCCGTGTCTTATGGCAGGATTCATACTATCCCACACCCATGGCAAAACACAAGTTCCTTTTTAACTGTAGTTCCCTAAGGGGGCTTCTCAGATGTCCCCCTTCAAAAGGGTCCATACAGTGTGGGGAAAAACGATACAGCTGTGAATCTACAGGAAAACACTATAGTGTAATAGTTAATGCAGTCACAGGATGGAATGGCTTTGAAGCACTTCTAAATATCTCCCCCAAACTCGCCTCCAAGCTAAGGTCCTCCCCTCCCAAACTCGCTGCTTCCTCCGAGCTAGGGACATGTTGGTCAATACTTCAGGTGAGTACACACTTATTCCATACTATGTATCAAAGTAATACTGCACTTACGGAGATCCTGGGACTGGCTACCGTAATAGCTGAACAAAACCTGTGGTCCAGGCACTCAATGGTTAATTATGCAGCAGATTGATTTGCAAAAAGTGCAATGTTTCAATCAAGCTTGAGAAAGATCTCTTGGGAGATCGAAGCATTGCACTTCTTCCAAATACAATTGTTGCATAATTGACCCTTGAGTGCCTGGACCACAGGTTTTATTCAACTATTCCATATTATGGACTTCCTCAGGACATAATTATATGTGAAAATTAAACAAATTCCTGCAAATATTTTGCCTAGTTACCTCTTTTCGTAGAGTTGATCCTTTCATCATCCCTTCAGTGGATGTAATCTTGAATTCCTCCCTTATTGGTGGGCTTCTATCCAATCAGGTCCTGAACTCGCAGCATGCCTCCTCAGTCTGAAGTAATGTCCTGTGACACTTTGTGGACCTAGTGATTTTATTTTTTTCTTATCCTTCACCATGCACATGTACTACTAATTGCATTGTTATGTATCATTTTATAACCTGACATCAGCTGCCATAGAATTTCCTTTTTACAAAAAATACACAATATACACCAACATAAGCCCTTGGGTTCCAATGTGTTTAGTTTGTGAATCCAGTGGGTTCCATTTGTGCCAGTCTTTTATCCTGGTCTCACCCCTCTCCAATGGTCCATGACATTATCAATACCTATAAAACTGAACAATGACCGATTGTCTTTCTGTAGGTTCACAGCTGTATCTCCATTGTTTACATTGTATATTGGTGATTGTATAGTCTATCGAAGGATAACGTATGGCTTTTTGTATGTTGCAGGTTACTGTATCCAACCGTCTGGTGTCCTCTCCATGCTGCATTGTGACCAGCACGTACGGCTGGACTGCCAACATGGAGCGTATCATGAAGGCACAGGCTCTGCGTGACAACTCCACCATGGGATACATGATGGCTAAGAAACACTTGGAGATAAACCCAGAACACCCAATTGTGGAGACATTGAGGCAGAAAGCAGAATCTGACAAGAATGACAAGGCAGTGAAGGATCTGGTGGTTCTTCTCTTTGAAACTGCTCTGTTGTCATCTGGCTTCTCTCTTGACGATCCTCAGACACACTCCAACCGTATCTACAGAATGATCAAACTTGGTTTGGGTGAGTTTACCAGCTCTGGTCTGCATTGTGTATTGGTCATGGCAGGATTTTAGAACTAAAACTGTCTGTGTATACATTTAATCGTAGTAAATTAGCCTGAAGTCATCTTTAACACATCTCCTGCCTGTTCCTGGTTTGGTATTCTTGCTGTTTTAGTATAGCCCAAGCCGTTCTTTGAATTCTGTTAGGTGTTAGTCATCGCAGCAGTCCTTCTAATTCCAACACCCATCTGTCATTCCAGGTATCGATGAGGATGAAGCCGCAGTGGAAGAAAGTTCGCCATCCGTCCCCGATGACATCCCACCTCTGGAAGGTGAAGAGGACGCATCTCGCATGGAGGAAGTGGATTAATCTGCCCCTCGTTTCACATAGCACTAGCTAGCTCCCCACCCTATGTGTCACCAGTGGAGGTGTTTGGACAGGAATTCCTCCCTGTGGATATAGACTGTAATGGCATTTATTACCAGGGATCTGCTCTCCTTCCCAAAGTCCCCTGGGAAGAAGTCTAAGCTTCAAAACAAATTGCTGCTGACTCCACCATTTTGTTTTTCTTCCCCCCTCACTGTTCTCTTGGCTGTGTTCTAGTCTGTGGCTTTATTAGGGTGATGTTAGATGTTCCTTTCAGGCTCTCTAGCACAAGGGAAACTCAAAGCTGTATAATTTACCATCTTCTAGATTGTGTCTGGGCCGACTGACACTTCTATGTACCTATCCCCCTATCTGAGGCCTCCCAGCCTAGGCTGTACATCCAAGAGATGGGGGGCTAAGGCTCTCCTGCCCGTTGTAAAAGACCCAGAAATCTCCCTGCGGAGAGTGGTATTGTGTTTGTCTGCAGAACTGTTTGTTTTGGTTCTTGTTGTAAAACTTGATGTTATGCAAGATAAAGTTCTGGTTTTACACTGAAATGTGGCTTGGTGTGATGGACATGACTTATTGTGGGACATCTTTATTTGTAAGTACTGCCCATAAAGGGAGAACCATGGCTCAGTGAACAGATTGTAGGTTTTACAATAAATGCGAACGCCTCTATTTAAAAACAGACCTAATTTGAGACTTCAAGTTTCTGATTTATTTTTATTTTTTTTCCCCATGTGAGCTGTGGTTAATAAAGGCGAAGCAGTGTTGATGGTGGGTAAATGTGGAGCACCATTCCAGTACTGCCAAGACAATTGCCAGTTTCCATTGCCAAGCTTTTCTGGCTGTAGTGCTGGGGTGACATTGCTATTAATCAGCCGTAGTATGGATTGGTGTGCCTGAAGGGAGTTGTAGCTGCTATGCAAACAAGATCACTAGCCCAGCATCCTGTTGCTGAAGCGAGGGGAACATGTTTGCTAAAGAAACATGATTCTAGAAGCGTATGGACATAATCTGGTTATTGTGTCCTCTGCATCTATATCATTACAAGCTGTGGCCAGGATTTTTCTTGCATCCTGTGCAGGTCTCGCTTTTATTTTAAGTGGGTTTTTGGCTTACTGAGTCTTGTGGTTATTGGCAAAAGGCTTTCTCCACTTTAAATGATTTAACCCCTTCACTCCTAAACATTTGAAAAGAATAATGTGCCAGTCTGTAGAACAGGTCCCTCTATACAGCCCGAACATTTCCTATGGCGATCTCTTCACGTGTCAACACATTCAGACATTCCACAGGGTTGTCTCTGTGAAGGAATAGTGGGGAAGATAACTGGTTAAAACAAGTTGTATTTTTCGATGTGAAGTGCTACACAGTGAGATTGGCTTTTATTTCCCCAGGAATAGCCACCTGTTTTTACCCTGACAAATCCTTAACATTGCCTACTCCATTTCATCAAACATGTTCTCAGAACCAATAAAGGTTATATTCTTTTTGAATCAGGCACAAACTACAACCATGATTAATCTTTAGATCTGGCCACAGTGGCAGTAAGTGGATATTTGTAAGGAGTGTATGCAGTTCCAGAGCTGCCAGCACAAAGTAATGAAAGACGTGTTGAACGACTAGTCACTGCTTATTCTCCCATAAACGAACACCTGTTAATTATCGATCAATGTAACTGGCTTGGTTATGTAGATTTATATAATGGGGAGAGCACTGCTGCTTGTGCTACACTGTAACATAAGTCTTGTAGGCACCTGTACAGGTCGGTGTTGTGATATTATACAGGAATGAAAGCCACTGCTTATCTTTCAATGTAGGAGCATCATGTGACTAAGAGCCCCCTTACATAGATCTTTAGTAAACTGATTACAACTTACTGCCGTTTTTGGCAGCTCACCATCTGAAGTGTCTGCATCCATTTCTAGCTGCCATCGTGGTGACACTTTTTTTTTTTTTTTTTTTTCAAACCCTAAATGCATTTTTTTTTTTTAACTATTTTGTGGAGCATGTCTTCATCCAGGAGTTAGGGACTATTCCCCCAGCTGGAGCTCTGCTCTAAAGTGGACACTGGCATAGGTAAGTGCTCATACTGCCCTCACAGGGCCAACGTTATTTCAAAGGCTCTATGCTAGAAACGTGCAGATTTCTTATATCCCCAGGCATGACAGCACGTTCTAGCATATTGTAGTGTTTATGGTGCAAGGAGACTTGGCACTTTCTGTTTTCCATCCAAACTGTTTTGCTCCTTGAAATATTTTTTTCCCAGATGTACCCTGGAGCACGTAGGGTTAATTATTTATTTAATAAAAGTACTCCATTTCCTGAAACCTGAGTGGTTTGTTTTATTATCACATGGTGTGGATGACCGCTGGAAGTAATGAGGCTGTGGCTCTGTGTAGGTCACTCAGTGTAGATACTATGCTGGTGTGTTTGAAGATAGCTAAAATCTGTTGGTTTTTCAATTGTTATAGCTCAATGTATAGATTACACTTTACTCTGTAAAGGGGTCCTAAGATGTTGCACGACGGGCACATTTTAAAGGGAAACCTAGTGGAGCAGTAGTACTACTACGGTAAGGGCACTAAAATGAATATTAATGTTTTAACGCTACATGTTTAATAAAAAGAGAATGGAACCCATTTCTCCCAAGTGTCCCCATTTAGGATGACCATCCCTAACTTGGGCGCAGATCGTTCTCTCCCTCTTTTCTAGGAGCTCCATGTTGGCGTTTCTGAGTATATAACAGTGCTCCACTGTAATAATACTCCCAGTAATGTCATTAAATTACAATAGATGTGTTTAGAATTAGTCTGACTACATAAAACACGTTCTTGTTAGAAATTTAAGATGACTTACTATTCTAGTACTAAAATGTAACTTCTGAGAACAGCTCTGCCCCTGGTCTCACATTTTTCATTAAAGTGACACATTGTCCTTTTACGAGGAGAATTTAACCAGGAGACCAATCAGAAATGCAGTCTTATAGTGACTCTTATACAGCTTCTAAAAGAACCGTCCCTGAATTAATCCTGTTTATACTATATGGGAACGGATATACTGCGCGTTATTGTCGCCATTGGTATGTATTAGCTTATAACAATGGATCATATCGGACATCTATGGTAGGCTTTAAGAATTGGAGTATACTGTCCACCCTGAGGGTGATAACAGTTAAGTAGCAACTGGGGACACTTAAGGGTACAGTGCATCACCCCCTTTATCTGTTGGGCTTTATGTAAATTATCCATCTTGCACTGTTAATCTATAGATAACGGTTAGTGACAGGACACCATCCAGGATCTGACTGCCCACTGCAGGCAATGGCTGATATCAGAATCATGGTGTGACCTGATCAGTCTGTGTAACATCTCGTCGTGGGCGATGAAACCTGCGATATAATCCCTTTCACACTGCATTATAAGAGGGCGAGCATGTGGACCTGTACGAGTGTTTAGCCTGCAGCTATTCACGCCTGAAGCTGCACTCAGCGGATTGCTCCATAGACTGACAGTCTGACAGAAATTACACCGGGTATAAATCTTGATTTTTAGATTTGGAAAATGTGAAGGGGTGACTGAAATGTTTTAGCCTTGCTCTATGTGGTGCAAGATTGTCATACCTGACACTGCACCCACAATTCTTCCCCATTGGATGTGAATTCCTGTGTTTTTTTTTGTTTTGTTTTTTTTTGTTTTTTTTCATGTCTTGCTCAATGTGTTCCTTCAGAACCCTGTAATAGCTCTGCAATTATAAGGAAAAATCTAATTTCTATCCTAGCTTTTATTTGCTAATTTATTTTTGTTCATGTTAATGGCAAAGGTTGCAGAATATGAACGAAATAGATCGCAGAAGATAGGATAACTAAATACAGTACGTGTGCATAAACAGCAGTTTTTTTTTTATAAAAAGTGTAAAATGACAGTAATAGTGCAGATTTAGGTATTCGCTGTATTAGGAATGAGAGGTCATATGTATATGAGTGGATAGTTAATTGTAGGGGCTAACAGAGTAAGTTATGACAATCAGGATAGGGTTAACACATTGAGGTGTCTGACTTCAATTGAGAAGGTACAACATTTTTTTTTTTTTTTTTTTAAATTAAACCAGCTTATGAATATAGTACCAAATAGCACTGGGTTACCATACGCTCTCAAAGGCAACATAACCAATCTGGCAAATTTCAATAAAAAAAAGGAAAATCAAGCCTTATATTTGACCCTGTAACTTTCAAAAACACAGACACCTGTACATGAGGGGGTAATGTTATACCTGGGAGACTTCGCTGTATACAAATATTAGTGTTTCAAAACAGTAAAACGTATCAACGATATCATCCGCGAAAGTACTGTTTGTGTATGAAAAATGCAAAAAAAACTTCACTTTTATTGACCATCACCACTGTCATATGTTTTACTTGCCAGACTTCAATGCACACAAATATTAGTGTTTCAAAACAGTACATCCTGTGTCTTGGAAAGTTACAAGGTTAAATACAGTGCTAGCAATCTCAGGACCTTTGGCCTTGGTCGTCAGGCAGGTCCCGCAAATTGCAATCAGTAAAATTACTTATGTAAAAATGACACGAATATGCATGTAACATAGAAATATATGTATACATATCTATATGTTTGAAGTCTACGTGTATATTTATGTATATGGTTATATAGTATTTTGATTATATATCTAGATATATAATTTCATTTTAAGTGTATCTTGATATAAATAATCAAAATAGAATAAAATTACATGTTTCGTTTTTAATTTTATTGTTTTTTTTATTTTTTATTTATTTATAATATATAAAATATATGTAATTTTACTTTTAACTGTATTTATATGTATGTGTGTGTGTATATAAATAAAATACGAGCGAGAGAGATATATTATAGGCAGACCAATCCTGGCACTCAGATTAACCCTGCCAAACTTTCAGGGCCGGGTGCTTAAAAGCCACAGCCAAAATATACAAAAAATGGGCTAGCACTCCCGGTCTTGTAGTAAAAAGAAAATCTTTATTAAGTGTTTTTGCATAGCAAGACCACTTAATATTATCTCACATATATATTATTCTTCTTATTATAGCCAAATTTACCACCCTAACTCCTCCCACAGTTTTTACACTACATAGACCGTAATATACCGAAACATGCAGATTGTTCCCGATCGGATTGCTATTACTTTGTGGAACGTTTCGCCGAATGGTTCATGAAATATCATCGTTTTTTTGGGCGAAACTGGTCCCATAGGAATGAATGGCAAAATGTTCAAAACTAGAGTGGGAGCTGTCAAAAGTTGAAAAATCAGGACATGATTTCTAAACTGCCACCACTCCCTCATTTCCAAGCCCACCTACACAAATCTTATATCAAAACGTTCAGCTATCCCTGCTGCCACTAAACATGTAAACGGCTAAGCCATAGTCCTGATTGTTTTCACAATATGACCATTTGTTTGCAATTCACACCGTCCATTGACTTTCTTTGAAACTCCACTCTAGCCAGCTCAAATTTGAAGGGCAATTTCTAAACTGTGACTGTGCCTTCATTTTTAAAACTTCAGAGACATACAAAATGTAGGTCTGTGTCTTGTGATTCTCACAATTTAAAGCTCTTCGCTGTAGGATTTATAGTTTTTAAACTACGACCGTTTGAAGATGGCAACCGCCAGTGAAGTGAGCAATTTGGAGCAGTTTGTTTTTAACCGCTCTTCTCTGCCTTATTTGGAATCTATTAGTTCCTGTTGGCAGTTGGTGGAATGTTCGAGGGATTTGAAAGCTCTTCTCTGCCCTATTTGGAATCTATTAGTTCCTGTTGGCAGTTGGTGGAATGTTCGAGGGATTTGAAAGCTCTTCTCTGACCTATTTGGAATCTATTATTTTCTTTTCGCAGTTGGTGGAATGTTCGAGGGATTTGAAAGTTGTTCTCTGCCCTTGCTGTAGAGTGAGTGAACCACACTCCAACCTTTCAACAGTTACTCCAGCCACTCCAACCACATAACAGTTACTCAAGCCACTCCACCCAGTTACTCCGCCCACTTCAGTTGTAGACTACTGGTGGAGGCAAGAACACTTCACACAATTTCCCCAGAAATTGTAGCTTTTCTAGTTATTCCATAAAATCGACTTTTCAGCCCATGTCCGGGGGTTTCCTCAGGATCAACAAACAACAACATACTGGCATAACATGCTGTAAAATATAGCCCATAAGAAGAAAGAAATTGAACTCAATGCAGGTGAGGTCTGTGGCAAACCTAGCCACTTGGGACTGCCTAAGATAGAATGGTTGTGCCTATTTTCTGTTGTGTACCGGTATAGTGTGGCGTCTCCGGCTATGTTTAATTTATGCTGTACTGTGTATGTCTGTTCGAATCCTCCCCATTCGTTAGCATTGCTATTAAAACTGACTAAGTTGTATATTTTGAAGTTGAAAGGTAACGGTTTATGTCCTCGTAGTTTTCATTACTGTATGTTACAGCAGGGGCTGTTGGGAGGAGGACCTGGAAACGGTAGTCTCCCTCCAGTCCCCTCAACCAAAACCCCTGCTGCCCATCTTTGGAAACCCCTGTTGAGTGACCTGCTTTAAATATCAGTTATTTTTAATAAAGTGACAGTTGAGTGACCTGCTTTAAATATCAGTCTTTTTGAATAAAGTGGCAGTTGACTCTCAGACTGTGTTTCGTCTGGTTCTTGGGAGGATTTGGGAATATTGCCTGCTTCCAGCTTTGTACTTGGTTATTGCATTCTACCAGCAGAGATCCTGGGATTATAAAATTGCAGCTCCGCAACAAGGTCTGTTAGTTGTTTGGAGTCTTCCCGGTGCATGCGTGTACGTGCTTCACCCGGAAGTGTTACATAAAGCGTGACCCTGTTGCCGTAGCAACCTTCTAACATCCATGGTGCCATAGAAACCACTGTAAACAAGGATGAAACACAAAAATTGCAGTGCATAGAATAGGATATTTAACGGAAAAGTCGTGCTAGTGAAATCTATCAAACACATAAAGATAATAGCCATATGTGTTATATCCCGTAACAGAGGATGTGAATAATGTATGATGTGAAAGTCTGCGCTACCAGGCATAATTATAGGACTGAATAACAGTCCATTCGAGTACCTGTGAATATATAAAGACAAATAATGTCAAAAGTGCCAATTTGCAAAATATGACTGTATGTGAAATGCATGTTATAGAAACACAGATGTCTTAAATACATCTAATATATATATATATATCTATTTTATTTTACACATGCAGGGAGGTTGCCTGTCCCACCAAGGACTAAGATAATATTTATTTTAATTAAATAAATAAAAAATATATATACATAGTGGACAAAAAGCCCTGCACTCCTACCGAAAAAGATTAGAACCCGGTGCTCGATTGCACAATAGATATAAAACAAATAAATAATCAGCACTCCCAGGGTTTGTAAATAACCAAAAAAATACTTTACTCCGTAAGTCAACGTTTCAGCTCCTCTTGGGAGCTTTCATCAGGACAGCATACAAAACATAAATGAAACTTACATAGCTTAAATAAGAACATAAATCCAATTAGAACTCACATTTCAGGTGTGTTAATAGATGATCTCCCCTCCTCTCAAGCGTCCGCTCGAATAATGCCGGTGACCGGCATCTTCCCACTTGCGCTCACACTACCACGTGATGTGAGTGACATCATCACGTTTGTTATGTTGCTATGGAGATCGAGACGCCATCTGCGTCTAACGATCATCCACCTCAGTTACTTCCTGGCTAGCCGCGTTCCCCGTAGTCATGGTAACGCCAGGCGCATGCGCATTAATCTCAGGTTCCCCGATCTCTGAATCTATCCTCCACTAGGGAGGAGGTTATGGCTGCAACCTTTACTTACACGGAGATCTATAAAAAGTGAACACATACATATAGATCCATCTCCTTTATCCTTCGATGTTGCATAGATAGTTAAGTATTAAAAAACACATAATAAGTCCAAGGATTACTTGTTCAATACATACCAACAAAATATACTGGTGCAATAACTATATCATATGGGATCCTAATATAAATCCCATATCTTACACTAGGAGCAATGTTCTTAAGTGACCTACTCATAAGATTCTGTACTATAAAGTATAAAAATAACGTACAGAAAAATGCCATAAATATAATGTGACAAATCTGTAAAGAGAAGAAAAATCTGCTAACAATACATGTGTAATACTATAGTGATATCCATTATAAAACATCCATAAGGATGTGTCCTTAATCGTGTACCAGACTGATAGCTGATAATCTATCATAAATCTATCTGAAAATTAGTACCAATGTTAATCATAAAGTGCAAGTGCATATCTCAAGTAAAAAACAGTACCAAAAAATCTCTATCAAATATTAAGGTGATAAGTGCCCAAAATTCAAAAAAACTAACACCGTAATGATCGATAAACCTATATGGTCAAATATACCTAATATCCCTATTTGAGAAGAGTCCAAACCCGATAGTCAAAGGTGGACATCCTACTAATTATGTTAATACTTACCCCAAACTGGAGAGGATCATACCATATGTGAAATTGCAAAAAAAAAACCTGAATTGGAAGTCCTAATCAGAGAAACATAAAGCATAAAAAGTTCTAAACACTAAATACATACAAAATTATGAAAAAATTGTTTAAAAAGTAGATGAATTGAAATAATAGAAAAGGGGCTGACATTGTGTAAGCAGGACCACATTATATATTCCATTTTCCATCCCACTACCGCTCACCCCCTTATCTCTATCATAAGAAGGCAACAAACGACAATTTTTCATTTAGTCCATTTGGGGCTAATGTTCCCAGTTTTTTAATCCACCACGTTTCTCTTTGTAATAATTGTTCTTGTCTGTTGCCACCTCTTCTAGAAACTGGGACATGGTCTATCGCCACGCATTTCAGTGATGTGAGGGGATGGCCTTTTTCCAGAAAATGTCGTGCGACTGGTTTGTCAGTCTTATTGTCCCTGTAGGCTAGTCTAATGCTGGACCTGTGTCCTCTTATCCTCTCACAAAGGGCAGTCTCTGTCTTCCCGATATAGTTGAGCCCACAGGGACAGGACAATTTATAGATTACAAAGTCAGTCCGACAGTTGATTCTATGTTGAATTTTAAAAGTTTGTCCCGTGTGTGGATGATTGAAACTTTTACAAGGAATGAGGTGGCCACAGGTCACACAACCTAAGCATCTTACACATCCGTTATTAGTGGTATTCTTATTCTCCGGAAGATAACTTTGGATTGGATCGGTCTGAACTAAAAGGTCGCGCAGGCTTTTATTGTTTTTATAAGAAAACAATGGCTTATTATGGAAGCTCTCAGGAAGGCTTTTATCATTCTCCATAAGATGCCAATTCGTATTAATTTCATGACAAATTTGAGTAGTAGATGCATTGTATGTCATCGGAAAGGGAATTCGAGCCTTGTTGTTCCAAGGTCGTGTCGCTCCCCCAGCCATATGGTCCCTGGCTTTTCTGAGTGCTTTGTCAAGTATCACTCGTGTATAACCTCTCTGTGCAAATTTGTTATACATTTGCTGTATTTGTTCTTCACACCGAATGATATCCGAGTTGTTTCTTATAACTCTTAAAAACTGGGAGAACGGTAATGAATCTTTAACATGTTTGGGATGGGCACTTTCATAATGGAGCAAGGTATTTCGATCTGTTGGTTTGGTATACATTTGATATTCTATCCTCCCTTGTTCCAATCGAATTTCCAGATCCAGAAACTGTGTCTTATAATGATGAATATGTGATGTTACAAAAATAGGAGTATTCGACTCATTAATATCTTCCACTAGCTTTTGTGCTTCCTCTGTAGTACCCCTCCAAAGGATCAGTATATCATCTATATACCGGAAGTACTTCAGGATAAATTTTGAGTGTCTATTGAAGATATGTTCCTTCTCAAACTGATACATGTACGAATTGGCATACATGGGGGCCATTGCCGCCCCCATGGATGTTCCTGCTTTTTGTAAATACCACTTCGTTTCAAATCTGAAATAATTATTCCTGAGAGCCAGGGACAATAATTCGAGTGTGTATTCAATGGGGGGTCCATGATAGTGCTCCGTTTCTGAGAGCAATTCTCGCATCGCTTCCATAACCTCCTCCCTAGTGGAGGATAGATTCAGAGATCGGGGAACCTGAGATTAATGCACATGCGCCTGGCGTTACCATGACTACGGGGCTAGCCAGGAAGTAACTGAGGGGATGATCGTTAGACGCAGATGGCGTCTCGATCTCCATAGCAACATAACAAACGTGATGATGTCACTCACATCACGTGGTAGTGTGAGCGCAAGTGGGAAGATGCCGGTCACCGTCATTATTCGAGCGGACGCTCGAGAGGAGGGGAGATCATCTATTAACACACCTGAAATGTGAGTTCTAATTGGATTTATGTTCTTATTTAAGCTATGTAAGTTTCATTTATGTTTTGTATGCTGTCCTGATGAAAGCTCCCAAGAGGAGCTGAAACGTTGACTTACGGAGTAAAGTATTTTTTTGGTTATTTACAAACCCTGGGAGTGCTGATTATTTATTTATTTTATATATATATATATATATATATATATATATATATATATATATTATTTAAAAAAGCCCCCCTACCCTTATCACACACACATACACTGCCCCCCATACACACACACTTCCCCCCATACTGCCCCCCATACACACACACTGCCTACATACTGCCCCCATACACACACACTGCCCCCCGTTGATTTTCCTAGAGATCACATATGGGCCAATGAATCTGGGAACCAACTTCATAGTTGGCACTTTCAATCTGATGTTGGGAGTAGAAAGCCAGACCTTGTCCCCAACAACATAACTAGGTGCCATAGATCGGCGTTTGTATGCATGAGTTTTATGACGAGAGGAAGCCAAAGACTATGCACGCTGTACAAGCTTCCATCTTTCCTTAAGGTCTTGAAGGATTTGATCAAGATCCGGTAATCCAGTTTCATGAAACTGAGAAGGGATTACAAGGGGATGTTTACCATATGTAATGAAGAAAGTGCTATACTGTGAGGAGTTGTGTGTAGTGTTATTATGTGCGAATTCAGCACAAGGAAGAAGGTCATACCAGTTGTCATGGTTATGTGATATGAAACATCTCAAGAAGCCCTCTATAGATTGATTAACCGTTTCTGTAGCCCCGTTTGTCAGGGGGTGATATGATGAGGAAAAAGACAATGAAACCCCTAGTTCAGAACAAAACTTCCCCCAAAATCGTGATATAAACGGTGTCCCTCTATCTATCAGATACGATTTCTTGTGACAACCTATGTAATCTATATATATCTTTAATGAAGATCTGGGCCAACTCAGCAGAGGTAGGTCTTATACAGAGAGGAATTAAATGGATAATTTTTGTGAAATGATCTACCACAGTTAAAATGGTGGTATGTCCCTTAGATGGTGGTAGATCTACAATGAAGTCTGTGGCAAGGTGGGACCAAGGTTTTTCAGTGACAGGGAGTGGCTGTAAGAGACCACAAGGCAGTTTACGAGGTGTTTTGGTCATAGCGCAAACAGTACATGCCTGAACATAAACATTAACTGTCTAGATATAGAGGATATTACATAGTTACATAGCTGAAAATAGACTTGCGTCCATCAAGTTCAGCCTTCCTCACATGTTTTTGTTGTTGATCCAAAAGAAGGCAAAAAACCCAGTCTGAAGCGCTTCCAATTTTGCAACAAACTAGGAAAAAATTCCTTCTTGACCCCAAAATAGCAGTCAGATGTCTCCTTGGATCAAGCAGCTATTACCCCACTAATTAGAAATTATATCCCTGTATGTTATGTTTTTGTAAGTATTTATCCAATTGCAGTTTAAACATCTATATGGACTCTGATTCCATATCCTTATTGCTCTTACTGTAAAAAAAAAAAACCTTTTCTTTGCATTAGATGAAATCTTTCTTCCAGCCTAAATGTGTGACCTCGTGTCCTATGTATAGCCCTGTTTATGAATAGATTTCCAGATAATGGTTTGTACTAGCCCTGAATATATTTGTATAATGTTATCATATCCCCTCTGAGGTGCCGTTTTTCAAAACAAAAGAGATTTTAATTTTTTAACCTTTCTTCGTAACTAAAATTCTCCATTCCTTTTATCAATTTGTAGCTCGTCTGCACTTTTTCTAGTGCCATGATATCCATCTTTAGAACAGGTGCCCAAAATTGCACCGCATATTCAAGGTGTGGGCTTACCAGCGATTTATAAAGAGGCAAAATTGTATTTTCATCGTGAGAATTTATGCCCCTATTTATACATGACAAAACCTTACTGGCCTTAGCAACTGCAGATTGACATTGCATATTGCTGCCTAATTTGTTGTCTATAACAATTCCCAAATCCTTCTCGTGTGTGCTTATCCCTAATTCACTACCATTTAGGGTGTAAGTTGCTTGTGCATTCTTAACCCCAAAGTGCATAACTTTTCATTTCTCTACGTTAAATTTCATCTGCCATTTTAGTGCCCAGTCCCCCAATCTATCAAAATCCCTCTGTAGCAAAGCAATATCCTGCTCACATTATATTACTTTACAAAGTTTTATGTCATCTGCAAACACTGAAACATGGCTTTCAATGCCTATTTCAAGATCATTTATAAATATGTTAAATAGAAGTGGTCCCAAAACAGAACCCTGTGGGACACCACTTGCCACTTTTGCCCAGCCTGAAAATGTACCATTAATGACAACTTGTTGTACTGTATCCTTAAGCCAATGTTCTCCCCAAGTACAAGAATATTCATCTAGACCAATTTCTTTTAGTTAGAAGACTAACCAATTGTGAGGAACCGTATCAAATTCCTTGTCAAAATCCAAGTAGATCACTTCCACTGCAACACCCTGATCTATACTTCTACTTACTTCTTCGTAAAATGCAATTAGGTTAGTTTGACATGATCTATGTTTTATAAAACCATGCTGATTGCTAATAACAAAGTTCTTCCCAATGAATTCCTGAATATTATGCCTTAATAGCCCTTCAAATATTTTCCCAGTCACAAAAGTTAAGCTCACAGGTCTATAATTTCCAGGCAAGGATTTTGAACCCTTTTTAAATATAGGAACATCAGCCTTCCTCCAATCATCCGGTACAACACCTGAAACAAAAGAATCTTGAAAACCTAAATACAGAGGTTCACTTTTTCCCCACTTAGCTCCTTAAGTATATGGTTTTCCGAATCCCGGGATGGCCAGCTGGGGGAATAAACGAGTATGTCATCCAAATAGACTAAAACACACAAATGGATATACTCCCTTAAGACATCGTTTATCAGGTCTTGGAAAACTGCAGGAGCATTACAGAACCCAAAAGGCATTACAAGATATTTGTAATGCCCACTCCTTGTGTTAAAAGTGGTTTTCCATTCATGACTTTCCTTTATCCTCACCAGATTGTAAGCACTCCTAAGGTCTAATTTGGTAAACACAGTGGCCCCTTTAAGTCTATCAAAAAATTCCATGATGAGGGGAATAAGATAGACATTTCTTCTAGTAATCTTGTTAAGACCTCTATAATCAATGCATGGTCGTAAATCTCCCTCTTTCTTTGAAAGAAAAACCTTTGAAAGAAAAACCTGCGCCTGCAGGAGAGGAAGATCTACGTATGAAATCCTTGGCAAGAGCGTCCTGGATATACTCTTCCATGATTTCACTCTCATGGGGGGACAGAGGATTCACCTGGCCTCTGGGTGACATAGTACCTGGCAGGAGGTCTATGGCACAGTCGTATAAGGTCGGTGTGGGGGTAATGTCTCAGCATTGGTTTTATTAAAGACTTCCTTAACCTATAGGTCGTTAATACGACCTATAGGTTTGATGGAGAGAAGACATTGATCCTTGCAGCTAGTACAAATTTCACCCTTAATCCAATCCAAGACCGGATTATGCCGCACCAACCAGGGAAACCCAAGAATGATAGGACATGAAGGGGTTGAAATGACTTGGAGATGGTCTCATGAGTTATAATGGGTGTCTGAAAGGATCTACCATCTATTACCTCAACGGCCAAAGGCGTGGATCTCTCCTTCAGAGGGATAAGAAGGTCGCTAACAAACTTTTTGTCTATGAAGTACTCAGCGTCTCCTGAATCGACAACCAATATGGTGGTAAATAATTGTATAAAGGGATTGTATGTCACAAGTAACTGATATATAATTTGGATCCCACTTTGTTTCAACCAAAATTTGCAGCAAAGAGATGGAGTCTTTAACCCGTTCCCAATCACGGACGTACAACAAATAATTCAAGAAAACTCCATGTCAGTCTTACAAATTTATTTTATTGTTGAGGGTATAAATATAATATTATATAACATTTTTGTCTGGGATTTAGATTATTATTTTTTCTTTTTTACTTACAGAAACAGGGTACAGCTATGTTCGCACCTAGCTATGCAAACCTTTTTACGGCTGATTGGGCGTTTTTTTGCCATTTGGGGTGGGTATGTATGGAGGCGTAACCTGGTCTCTTATTTTAAATATATAGATGATTTGTTTTATATTTGGGATGGCTCCAGTGAATCCCTTGACTCCTTTTTAAAACATCTCAATGTTAATGATAAAGGAATTGTTTTAACATCAGAATATGGCAAAAAAGTAAAATTTGTAGACAAAGCGGTACACACTAATGCTATTATAGACCAATCCAGCTGCCACTATGATCCGTAGAGTACTAGTATCTTCGAAATCCAGTTCCTTCATCTGAGAACAAATTGCTCTTCAATAAAATATTTTAATGATCTTTGAAAAACACGTTTTTAGATTTAGTAAACTATGATAAAAAAATACTTGATTACATGGTAGAAGAAACAAAAAAAAAAAAACAAGACAGAAAACAACTTTTTAACTATAAGACTAAAAATAAGAAAATGTTATAAAATACTTACTGTAATTTTCTTTTCCTGGCTAAGTTACATGGCAGCATCACTTATGGGTTAAGCTCCTCACCAACTGTCAGGGCAGGAATAATTAATTGACAGATCCAATAAAGACCCCCCTCCCCCCCTGAGATCCACAGTCGTTTATAAAGTTAGAGTAGAAAAAAAAAAACAGATGAGAGGGAGCATGATGCTGCCATGTAACTTAGCCAGGAAAAACATTACGGTAAGTAATTTACAAAATGTTCTCGTTTCCTGGCTAAACATAGCAGCATCAAATATGGGTAATAACCAAGCTTACTAAAGGACGGGAAAAAGAAATAAAGGACTCCAATTGTGCTGCTTTGTATTTTTATTGCTTAATGCAACAAACGCCAATACACTACCTCCAAAGTGCACAGAAGAACCAGCCAAATCAACCCTATAATGTTTGATGAAGGTCCAGTGTGATGACCAAGAAGTCTTATTTTATGTTTTCTGTAGGCACCTCCGCCATAGAAACCCATGAAGTAGCTAAACTCCTGGTAGAGTGAGCCTTTACCTTAATGGGGGCAGCTTTGCCTTGTGTTACGTATGTGTGGCAAACCTAGCCACTTGGACTAAACAGAGACAATATGTTTTTAAGGGTTGCCTGTATCTTTAATACCAATGTATATGTGCCTGGTTGTAATAAGCTGTATCCTGTATGCTGTATTGTTGGTATTGGCTATCTGCTGAAAGCACTTAGTCATTTTCTATTTCGTTTCACGAACGGCACCTTTGCGAGCCTTTCGTGAAACGAATGAACTATCTTTTACTAGCCCACACACTAAGGGACGTGTGGCGCTTGTTAACCGATTGCAACAATGTTGCAATCGGTAATTAGAGGCTCTCCTAGGTGGCCGCAGTTCGGCTACCAACCACATGGCGGTCGGCCATCTTGGATCCTTTGTTCCCCAGCGGTGTTTGGTCGTCGAGCGCATGGAACTGAAAACGGCTACTCGACGGCGCAAACACCGCTGGGCTTCCAGGCCGTTCGGGAGCTCCGGGCTTTTCGGTATTTTACTTCCCGTATAGCAATCGGTCTTTTAAGCGTGTTACAATTAATATGTTTTTCGTGCGGCGTTCGGCTGTTTTAGCTGGGATCTGAGCGGTAATCTCACGAACTGTGCGCTCAGACCCCAGCTATCTGCCGAACGTCCAATTGTATAAATTCACCGAATACAATGCCAGTTATGTATTTTAATGTGAATTGCCGGTTCTGCTGCACGGAGGGATAATCCACTTAACGGTACATTCCAGTGGGAGTATCCCTCTCGTGCAGCAGTGCCTGATGAGAGAAATGTCCAGAATGTTAAGCCCCCCATGTAGTCCCCGACTGTATTACCCCTGCAATGTCAGTAGGGAAACCCCTTGCATGGGGACTTGCATAAATACTGGAGCTGCAAATAAAGACCTCAGTTGACTCCCAGAACTGTGTTTCATCTGGTTACTGGGGGATTTGGGATATTGCCTTGCTTTTCAGCGCTGACTGTGGCTTACTGTGTGTATCAGCGGAATTCGTGGGATTTAATATTGCCGGTCCGCTACAATTGGTGGCAAGCGACGGGATCCAACCTTACAGCCAAAAAGCGCGTTCGGATAAAAGAAACAACCGAACAAGAAAAGGGAATGGCAATTCGTATGCAGCAAACAGCCGAAAGAGAACAGTGAATGGAGACGGATTACGCTACACTAAAAAGGCAGACACTGAAGGAACTGCTGGAAGCTAGAGGGAAGATAGCCAGCAACAAGTCCAAAGCCGTGCTGATCGCTGAACTGATTGAGGGAGACCGGGCTCACAACAGCACACCCCCACCAGCCAGGGAAGAAACCCCATACCAAAGGGAAATGCGATCCCGGCTGGAGTTTTTACCGCAGCCAGCACCCCTGGACATCCTGACGGTCCTAATGGCTGATGTGCAGGAGTACGTGATGGCACACCATTCCCAGGAGGCAACGTCCAGGGCAGAATCCATCACTGCTTCCAACTACGGTCAGGTAAAGCCTAAAATTCCTTATCATGCCTTCAGAATGTTTTGTGAGGAGAAGGATGAGATCGATGGTGTGACGAAATGCCTTTTGTCCCTGGATTGTTAGGTGACAAGCTGCCCTTTGCCCCCGGCTTTTGGAGGAGCCTGATTGCCAGCCTCCTTCCTCATGACTATGGCCCTGGGGTGTATTGCCATTTAAAAAGACTATTTGGGGCTTATTGGCTTCTAAAGACCGTTTCTTCCCATTTGAATCCATGGGAAGGTGTGTTTCTTCCCCTCCCCCGTTTCCTGTCTATTGTTCTCCAGCAGGGCGTTGTCCCAGGCACACTGCCAAACCAGTTGGAACTGACTGCTTTTGTCCCTCCTTGGTTTCTCAACGGCCCTTGCTATGCTTTACCCCATGGAAAATCTACTCTGTTCATGGGATCTGAGCGCTGTTCACCTAGATTGGGCGCTCAGATCCGAGCTATCTGTGGATAGGTTAAATGTGGGGGTTCTGTGTAATAAAATAAGAATTATGTATTTTTATGTACTTTTACGTATTTTGCTGTTAGTGTTAAATGTAGATATTTTCTGTACCTGGAGATAATTGAGTTTACTGCAGTGCCTTAAGCCAATTATCTCCAGGATGGAGAGGAGGGATTTCATTGTGTATGTGAGAGTGTTATCATGTTAATTAGTGTTCCCATTGGTTTGTGTCCCTTTTGTCACAGTTTACCACCAGGTCCAGGGGGTGTGCCTCTGACCTGAAAACTTGTATATAAGGAGTAATAAACGCTCATTGGAGTCAGATCATCTTGTACCTTCATGAAGTTTCGGCTCATGTTTGGGGGATTGGAGAAACTACACTCTGGGGATTGCTATAATCACTATACTCCCCAGGGTATAATCACTAAGCTCTGCTAAGAGCTTGTTCCTGTTCCTGCTCTCTGGAATTCTGAGAGAGGTTGACCTGCTGGAAGCTGGACCCTGGTCCTGGGTCCAGAGTGGGTGGAGACAGCGAGATCCCAACCAAGCTGCGGCGGTTCGTGGGGTCTGCAGTGGTTATGGTGTCAGGCAGAGTGCTTGGAGTCCTCGGAAAGCACTAGGAGCACCCGTCGGCGGAAGGTACCCGGTCGGGGTGCCAGCGGTTCCGTTACAGATGGGTACTTGCAGGACTTTGAAAGGCTATGTGACCTGCACGACCTAGAACAGGCAGTATGGGTGCCCCTACTAGCAGGAAAACTGGCGGGGCGGGCAGCAGAAGCATATCGCGCTGTCCCCAGGGAGGACAGCAAAGACTATGCCAAAGTAAAAAGGGCTATACTCGAGAGGTATGCCATTACGCCAGAAGCTTATCAGTGCAAGTTCAGAGGATTGCGCAAACCAGAATAAAATTCATACGCTGAATGGGCGCACAAGCTAGACCAAGCCACGCAGGGGTGGATACAGGCGAGCCAAGCCACCACCATGGAGGAATTGCGCCAACTTATGTTATTGGAACAATTTTTCAATGGATTGTCCCCAGAAGCACAAGAATGGGTGAGGGACCGCAAACCTCTCACCCTACCTGAAGCAGCCAGATTGGCCGATCAGCATTTTGATGCAAGGAGGCATCATGGGCAAGTTAATCGGAGCTACACTCGACCCCCTGTGCAACCTAGCACAGTCACGCCCGCAACCTCCAACCCCACTCTGTTTAGACCGGTCCAAGGGAACCATCATCCAGTGCCATACCTGCAGACAGTGGGGACATATGTCTAGGGAATGCACCCAGAACAGGAGCCGACAAGCCTGGAACCAAGTGAGGCAGAGCCCAGCACCAAGGGCGGCGGCCCACCACTACCAGGTGGAACCCGACACCCAAGAACTGCTGAGCATCCAGGCCGAGGAACCCCTGGGCATTCTGCATGAGGTGATGTCTGTACAAGCCACGGACAACCGGCAACATCATCGCCAAATCGTAACTGTGGAAGGCAAGGAAGTACAGGGACTACGTGACTCCGGAGCCACATTGACCCTGGTGGCTCCACATTTGGTTCCAGATACCGCTCACACTGGTCGGTGGCAGAGGGGAGCAATGTACCGTCTGCCCACTGCAAAGGTACATTTGAACTGGGGTGCTGGGGAGGGGGTAGTAGAAGTGGCCATTATGAAGAAGTTACCTGAAGATGTGGTATTGGGGAATGACTTGGGCCGGATGACCTCCGCATTTATACCCCAGGCACCTCTGCAAGAAGCACTTCCTGTGACCACCCGGCAGCAGGCTTGCACCACGGTTCCACCAACGCACTCTGAGGCTCAGGTAAGAGACCATGACCCGCCCATGACCCGTATGACCTGGGACACCCCGACCACATTTGAAGCCGAGGTTAAGTCAGACCCCACGTACAGGTGTACCGAGATAGGGTAAGCAGCGATCAGGCTGGGTTAGAGGGGGAGCGGTATATCTGGGAGAAAGGGCTGTTATACCGGGTAGCAGAGAGAGTGATAGGAGGCTCCGTCACGGTAGAAACCAAACAGTTAGTGGTTCCCCAAAAAATATAGACAGGAGCTCCTTAGGATAGCTCACGATATCCCCTTGTCTGGCCATTTAGGAATGACCCGTACACATTATCGGCTGACACACGCCTTCTTCTGGCCAGGGATCTCCAAAAACGTGAGGCATTGCTGCACCTCATGTGATATTTGTCAGCGAGTGGGTAAGAGGGGGGACCGCCACAAAGCGAAACTGTGTCCCCTGCCCGTTATTGAGGAGTCCTTTAGCAGAGTGGCCGTAGACCTAGTGGGACCATTACTTAAGCCTAGCCCCTCCGGGAAGAGGTATATCTTGACCGTGGTGGACTACGCCACCCGGTACCCCGAGGCCATAGCCCTGTCCAACATTCAGGCAGAAACGGTGGCCGAGGCCTTGATGAAAGTCTTTTCCAGGGTAGGGTTTCCTCAGGAGATAATCTCGGATAGGGGAACCCAGTTCACTGCTGAAGTCACCCAGCAATTGTGGAAGATAAGTGGCAGTAAGCCGATAGTAAACTCCGCCTATCACCCCCAGTCCAACGGCTTATGCGAAAGATTTAATGGTACCCTGAAACAGATGCTCCATACGTTTGGAGAGGCCCATAAGGACTGGGAACGTTTTCTTCCCCATTTGCTATTCGCATATAGAGAGGTGCCCCAGGAGTCGACAGGTTTTTCCCCGTTTGAATTGTTATTTGGGAGAAGAGTAAGGGGACCGTTGGACCTAATCAGGGAGCACTGGGAGGGAGAAAGTAGCGCAGATGGGACCCCCATTATACCATACGTGCTAGAGTTCAGGGACCGTCTGGAGGAACTAACCCGGGCTGTACGCACCAATCTCCAGGCGGCTCAGCAACGACAGTGCCGCTGGTATGACATGGGAGCCAGAGACCGCAGCTTTCAAGTAGGACGGAAGGTTTTAATTTTAAAACCGGTCCGCACAGACAAGCTGCAGGCCATCTGGCAAGGCCCATACCAGGTGTTGGAGCAGAGATGCGACACCACCTATGTGATTGGCCCCTGCTCAGGGGTAGGGAAGAGACGCATGCTCCACGTGAACATGAGAGGACAGAGGACGTGGCAGCCATATGCACGCCAGCCTCTGAAGATCAGGAGAATCTGCCGCTACCAGACTTACTGGAACAGGACGAGCAGGCAGAGCCCTACTAGGGGGTTCAACGGGGGAGCGGCTAAGCACGCCAGAGCGAGCCCAGGTGCAGGAGTTGATAGCGGCGAAAGAGGCCACTTTCTCCAACTTGCCTGGGTAGACTCCTCTGGCCACTCACCGAGTTGAAACCCCTGGACAGCTACCAGAGAGCAAAAAATGGGTTGCAAGAGTATTCTGAGGACGGACAGCAGCTAAAATAGCCTGCCCTTTGGTGGGCCCCCGCTCAGAACTCAAGCTGGTTTTAGCTCAACTTGTGCCATTACAGAGAGAACATATCTGAAGCATATCAGACTCGTCCCACCCATACGGGCAGTCCAGATCCGAAATGCCAGCAAGTTCTCTCTGCACGAGAGATACAGCAACCCCAGACGATCGTTTCAACCTTGTTAGGCATCGTCAGTGAGGCAGAGCATTTACAGCACATAGGGACAATAACTGACCGTATTGGAGAGGAAGGGTTGACACTGAAACCTAGCAAGTGTCACATAGGGATGGCCGAAGTACAGTACTTGGGCCACCGGGTAGGAAGTGGGCAGCAGAAACCTGAACCAGCTAAAATTGAAGCTGTAGCTAAGTGGCCCACCCCGAGGACCAAGACCCAGGTACTCGCCTTCCTGGGAACCTCCGGGTACTACAGAAAATTTGTGCCCAATTACAGTGCCCTGGCCAAACCCCTGACTGACCTGACTCGCAAGAACTTACCTCGACAGGTTGTCTGGGCCCCAGAGTGTGAACAGGCATTTACCCAACTTAAGACGGCTCTAACTAATACACCTGTTCTTGCTGCTCCTGATCCAACTAAACGTTTTCTTGTCCACACAGACGCTTCAATGTTTGGATTGGGAGCAGTACTGAGCCAAGTTGGAGCAGATGGCGGAGAACACCCTGTAGCTTATTTAAGCCGGAAGTTGTTACCCCGAGAAGTGAGCTACGCCGCCATTGAGAAAGAATGCCTGGCCGTGGTGTGGGCCCTGAAAAAATTACAGCCATATCTCTATGGGCAACCCTTTTCCTTGCTCACAGATCACAACCCATTGGTGTGGCTAAACCGAGTGGCTGGAGACAATGCCAGGCTGCTGCGCTGGAGTTTGGCGCAGCAGCCTTTTGACTTTACGATCCATTATCGCCCTGGGAATCAAAACGGTAACCCCGACAGGTTATCTAGACAAACTGACCTTGAGAAGTGATCTGTGAGCCCTCCTCCGGACATCCCCAAGCCGATCCGTTGGGATCAGACTGTGTATGCCGGCTTGGTTCTGGGGGAGCATTGTGGCAAAAAAGAACGTATTAGTATCACGGTGGATTTAAGACCATAATGGTCTGTTTCGTATATTTTGAATTTTTTATTATTGCTTATCTAATCTTATTATTTGTTGATGGATTTTATATCTTTTTTTCTTCCATTTTACTTTGAGAATATTACGGTAATCATATTACAATGGTGGAAATCTACTTAACAGAAAAAATGATATGTCGATATGCTTTTATGGTTCTTAATTTCTTTCTTTTTCTCAAAAGGTGTAATTTTCTTTATAAATAATGAAAACATTAAATAAAAAAAGAACTTACTACCTGCAATGTGGGAGAATTATTGTTATGGTATCTGCTTACAGCGTACATCCCCCAACTGCAGGGCAAGGTAGGAAGCCATCAGGGTATTCAGAACCCTCTGTGTGCTGTGTTGCTTAGATTTTATTTAGCCTATAGATTTTTCCTCAGCTCTCCATTCAGGAGAGAGGTCCTCACCCATCCTGGTGGCTGATCCTCTCAGTTGCTCTTACCCACCCTGGACCTATGACAAGGCTCCAGGCTCCAGTGGGCGAACCGCTCCTCCAAGAGAGTGAAGCAGGAACAAGCTCTTAAAAGAGCTTAGAAGTGATTAGCTTAGGGAGCATGCAGAGCATAGCAATCCCTTGTAGTGATATAGCAATTCCCCCCAATAAGAGACAAGACTCTAAATTAAGGGTGAAGAAGAACTGAACTTTTAATGAAACAC